TGCGGGGGGGGACCGGCCCGCGCCCCGGGGCCCTCCCCCGCCGCGCTCCGCGGTGGCTGGGAGGGCCGGCTGCGCGCTCCGAGTGCGCAGACGCAGTCAGCGGGCGCGGGCGGGGCTCGGCGCTGCCAGTTCTCGGTGGGCCCCGGGGGGCTATTGTGTCCCCAGCGAGGGTGGTCTTCCTGACCTTTTGTCCTGAGGAAGTCGCGACAGGGCCTGAACGGGCTGGGGAGGGATGGACGGCTGGCGCGTTAAAGAAAGATGCTTGTGAATGTGACTCTGGGGACCCGCTGGGGAGCTCTGTGACCAGGGATGGCTCTGTGTCTGGCTTCAGGATGGTTTGGGCGTGATTCTTCCACGGCGTGGGGCCGGTTTGTGTTTGAGATGGTGTGACCGAGGGGACTGAAGTTTGTGAGAGACTGTGTGACTGGAGTCGTGGTCGGCCCTGTAGAACTGAGTGATGTAGGGGACTGAAATAATGGGGTTGACTGAGTGCATGCTGTGGCTAGGTCTGTAACTTCTGACTGTGAACATTTATGTGGTGCTGTATTTTGATGGATTTGTTTTCCTTATCAAGATTGTGGATGTGAGTCACTCCATGTGTATCTGACAAATGATGCACCTGATTGTATGGCTGGTAAAGAAGTGATTTTTTTGAATTACTAGATGTGCCTGAGAGCCTCACTCTCAGCTCTGAAACAAAGAGAGGAATGTTGTATACTCAAGGAGCATTAGGTTTGCTGAAAGATTTGGTGAAAAAAATCTTTTTGAAAAGACATAGAAATGACGTGTTTATATTTAATCACATAAGTTTATGGGGAAGAATGCAAATGAACATAACATTTAGAGTAAGATTTTAAAGACAATCCTGTCAGGGAGTAGTTGTTTTATTCTTGCTCCAGATCCCCATGAGTGCTTTTTCTCTTTCTTAAGGTTAAGGGAATTTTGTTGAGAAGATTTGAGGAGCCCTAGAGTAAGAAAAAAAGAAGCACTATGGCTAGACAGATAACCCCAAGGATTAGGGAGTCAGATAACTTGGATTCTAGATCAGTCACTTTAAAAAAAAAAAAAAAAAAAGATTTTTACTATATAGCTTTGTGCCAGAGGCACAAAGAGAGACAGACAGAAAGTGAGAAATCACGCCCCCCCAAAGATGGTGGCCACGCTGAATTTTTTAATTTTTTTTTTTTTTTTTTAGTTTAGCACCATTTATTAAGTGATCTCAGCTGTTGTTCGAGGTGCTGTGTGTCAGCCTGTTCTTAAAACATAATGCTTTTCCATTTCCTCTTGTCCAGGACAGAAGCATCTTCCAGGTGGCACGCCAACAGAACAAGAGACTCGGATGACACGAGCTTCAATGATGGTGCCATCCAGAGAGGAAGAGCCATGGCGCATTCAACCGTGGCTTCCAGAGGTTTTGAAAAAGGAGCCTTTGGGGGCCCAGCCTGCCTGGCATTTTGATGCTGTCTGTCGGTGTGAGTTTTGTATTCCATAATGGTGTTGGGAGGTAGGTTAAGCACTTGCAGGAATGTATCCCACATTCGGGCTGTGGTAGCTTGGTCACTGGCAGTCTTATTCCAGATTGAAATGATGTCCTCCTGAAAGGAGACAAAGACCACAGCCCCACAGATCTCTTCCCCAACCATGAACTGTTCCCCCAACATGGCCAGGATGAGATTCTCCCAGCAATGGGAGGCCAAGCCCTTCTGCAGCCGAATAATCCACTTGCTACCATTTTTATTTGCATCATCTTTCCTTCTTTGAAGAGATGGAAGTCACTATGGCCTGTCAAGGTCCCTGGGACTTATCACATGGCTATAAAACCTCCAGAACTGCCCCACAGAGGCAAAGGTGCCAATCTGTTTGATATTCTGTTCGTAGCTCTGTGAACTCGTGGGATGGCCAGGGATCCTCCTGGAGTACCAGAAAGTGTAATTGTACTGCAGGGGATGCTGTGCTGGTCCAGGGACGACAGCCTTCCTCTTGCTGCTGCCCTGACTCTTGTCCCGGTCCGCCTTTTCCTTCTCACCACCTTCCTGTGTGCTGTTTTCTTCATCCTGATCGTGGTCCCCACTGTGATGGTCTTTCAAGGCATTGAAGTTGTTCATCCTCTCACCACCGCTGTTGCCACTGCCTGACGAAGTCCCACACTGAATTTTAAGCTGCCAGGTCTGGGACTCGAACAGCTATTGGATACATGAGAGTTCAGTGATATAACCATTATGCCATCTGCTGGTCCCTATCTTGGGTTCTAGATCCAGTCACTCTTTTTGCTTTGTTAAAGCAGTACAAGAAATTTGTTTTAAGACCCAAAGCATGGTCCAGCCTTGGCACAAGCAGTATTGATCTGCAGCACTGTAAGCCACTTGACTGCTGGAGTACATGGCTGATGTGAGGTTAGGATCTGCAGTTCATCTGAAACACCTGTTTAGCAGGGGCCCAAGATTCTGAGTAGACAGAGGGCTGAGGAAAGGGAACTGTGGCAAGAGGAAACTGTTGAGGATGCCTGTCTCTTTCTCTGTCACATGCTCTCTCATGAAATAAATTAAACTTTTCAAAAAGAGAGACAGAGAGCAAATGGTGGTACAGTGGTAAAATGCAATGTTCTACATGGCAAGCCCATATGGGAAGGTTACTAGTTCAAGTCCATAGACCTCCGCAACTATTCTAGGCACTTGCTTGCTGATGATCCGGGACTGGCTGAAGGCTGCTGGTGGATTGCAATTGTTAAGACCTATCCAGGGTGCTGTTTCTCTTTCTTACTCATGGAAAATATATCAATAAATAAGTTTAGGTGGAAAAAGAAAAAAGACCTAAAGCTTGAGCTCATACAGACATCACTGGATGAAATTTAGTATCAGAAGGTTTTATTCATGCTTTTATTTTCCAGCGGAAATCTTGGTTCCTAGTAATATAAACATATATCTTTATTTAGTCTATAAGCACCATAAAATAGTTGAAAATTGCAATATTAACATTAGTAATAATCAAGCTAGTAAGTAAAATTTTAGTAGTGCTTTCAAAGCAGGGGTTGGCAAATTACAGTATGCAGAGCAAATCTGGTCTGCTCCCTATTACATAACAGCTTATGAGCTAAGAATAGTTTCTGTATTTTTAAATGGTTAAAAAACATGGGACCAGCAGTTGGTGTAATGGCTATATCGCTGGATGCCCACATAGTCGACTGTGTTTTGAGTCTTGGACCCAGTGGCTTAAACTCACGCCAGGCATGTGTGTGTGCGGTCCCAAGATCCCGAGAGGAGAATGGAGGAGAAGGGATTGCGGCATGGCCTTCTCCTTGGGGGGGATGGCGGGGTGGGGGGTGATTTCTTGCTTTCTGTCTCTGTTTCTTTCTTTCTGGCGAGCACATGCACCCTATAGCAAAAACCTCTCCAAAAACAAAAACAAAAACAACAAAAATCAAATGAGAATAATATTTTGAGAGATGTGAAAGTGATGTATTTAAATTTCAGTGTCTATAAGTTCTGTTGGAACATAGACATGATTATTTTTTGTTTATAGCTGATCTCACACTTATTTGAGCTACACTCTTATTTGGTCTCACCCTTATTTGAGCAGGATTGAGTAATTATACCAAATGGTCTGTGGAACCTAAAGTAAACTTAATGCTTATTAAGTAGCTATAGGGACTAGCAGATTGCATAATGGTTACATTGCTGGATTCCCACATAGTCAATTGTAGTTTGAGTCCCAGACACAGTGGCTTAAAACTCAAACCAGGCACGCATGTGCATGCATGTCCAAGATCCTGAAAGGAGATTAGAGGAGAAGGGATTGTGGCTGTGGTTATCACCCCCTGGAGGATGTTTCTCATTTTCTGTTTCTCTGTCTCTCTCTCTGTCTCTCTGGCAAGTGCAGGCATCCTATATAGCAAAAATCTCTCTAAAAAAACAATTATAGTAGTTATGGTCTGCAGATTTGCTACAAACACTGAATTAGTGAATACCAAACTATTGCTCCTAGGGGGAAAACAAGTTTAGTTTGCTATAAACATCTGGTAAGAACATAGCTTGTTTTATGTGTTTCTACTTAAAGACACGTTCATACATTTTTTTCTATAAGGCATATGACGGCCTTCTAGATAGCATGTCAGAACTACACTTGGGGGCCATTTCAAATAGCAGAATCACTAAATAGCATGAAAAATCAAGGTACTAAATGGACTGTAAAAAGGACTCTTGTTTACAGTATGAGGACTGAAACAAGAAGGCAGAGAGTGACCTTCTAGCTAGGAGTGAACCTGTGGAGGGATTCAAAATTTTCTCTACCCTTCAAATGTCTGCAAGCAACCACAAAAGTGCTGCAAGAATTGACTTAGGGTTACAAATAAATGTTAGGTCAGGGACCAGCAGGTGGCGTGGTGGTTAAAGTACTGGACATTCCCACATGGCTGACCATGCTTCAAATCCCGGACCTGGTGGCCATTCTCCTCTCGGGATCTTGGGCACACATGCACGTGCACCCAGCATGAGTTTAAACCACTGGGTCCAGGACTTGAACTGTGTTCGACTACATGGGAGTCCAGTGACGTAGCCATTACACAACTGCTGGTCTCCTGGTAGCTTGCTTTCTCATTTTCTTTCACTCTCTCT